GTATATGTAAGAGTAAGACTTTTATTACTAGAGTCATGTTTCTGGCTGCAGTGACACGCCCAAGGTTTGATGAATCAGGGAATGAATTATTTTCTGGAAAAATCGGGATATTTCCTTTCACAAATAAAGAACCTGCAAGGAGGAGTAGTAAAAATCGTTTTATCGGAACCATGGAGACTATATCAATAAGGAAATTTATTGATCTTACATAGTTAAGAAACTCTTGCCGGCTATCCTAGATAAGTGGCCAAGAATTGATGCAGGAAGTCCAATATTTATCCAACAAGACAATGCGAAACCTCATATTGGTTTGGATGATGAGTATTTTCAAAGTAATGCTACTAAGGATGGCTTCGACATACATTTGATCTGTCAACCACTGAATTCTCTAGATATGAATGTTCTAGACCTTGGTTTTTGTAATGCGATACAAGGACTACAATACCAACAGGCACCAAACTTTATAGATGTGCTCATAGAGGTTGTTCAGAAGTCATTTGATGAATACTTGCCAACAAAATTGAATCATACGTTTTTAACTTTACAGTCATGTATGATTTCAATTTTGAAAGCCAGAGGTTTGAAAAAATATAAGGTTTCGCACATGAAAAAACATAGGTTGGAGAGACAAAATTGCCTTCCTAGGCAATTAGATGTTGACCCCGTTAATTGGAGAAACAATTGCTCAATGTCAATAAGTGTTACAATTGACTTATCTAGTATTGAAGACTATTTTTGTTTTGTCCATGATGTTCATATGGGTTCTGATAAGATATTATCTTTTAGGAGTAGTTTGTGTTTCATTTTTATTTTTTTATTTTTTTTTTACTGTAAAAAAATTTCTACCCCAACATACAAAAAAAAAAAGAACTTGTTCTATTTTATAATATAAATTTTTATTATGGTAATATATAACAAAATGCTAAAGCCGCACACTACACTTTTCGGTGTCACTCTACCTACCAAAAGATGCATGTATAGAAAATCAGCTTTAGCTTAAACTGAGACCAATGATATTTAGACATCATCTTGGAATTAATGAAAGAAATTCTTACTTTTTAATCGCGGGAAGGGTCCAACCACTTTCAGCCTTCAGGGGGGTGACTAGCGTTCTAGCCTCCACTCATCAATCACGGTGTTCAGACCCACCAACCCACTCATCAATCACAATATTGGCAGTTATTGTTTTATTATTTCTATCCAATTGATTTATTATTCTTAAAATTTAATTTTATTCTATTTAATTTAAAATATTTAGATTTTTTAATTTTTATATTTATTAATTTAATTAAATACTCCTAAACAATAAAAAATTTATAAATTAACAAAAATATCTCTACCTACCCACATATTTCTGACAACCGTGATCGATTATCGATATTTAATGGGTGGGTAAGAGTGTTTTTATTAATTTTAAAAATTTTATTATAAAAAGTATTTAATTAAATTAATAAATATAAGAAATTAAAAAATAATCTTACTAAACACATTTTTAAATTCAAATTTAGGTGTCAAGATAATGTGTCCTATCATCAAGTTTAGTGGAATTATTTTGGGAGAATGACTTTTTCACCCCCAAGGTTTGGCTGAGTGACACTTTCCCACCCATCAAGTTTCATAATGACATTTTCTCACCCTCTGTTAAATTCTGATAATATTTTCCATTTTAAAGAAGGTTAATATGGTTAATTTACATCGAACCACAAAAATAAAAAATAAAGAACGTTTGCGGCATAAAGTTTGGTGGGTTTTGACTTGAGAGAAGGCATGTCAGGATGATTCACATCTTATCAACTTACCATTGAAAAAAAAACATACCCGTTTGGATTTTATTTTCTGTTTTGAATAGTGTGATTCAGACTTTGACTGGCCATTTCTTCAATTTCCATGGCTGACCAAACCATTTTTTTGTTATCCTTAAATAAATAACTTATAATTAGAGGGACAAAACCTTGAACTACTTTAAGCATTTGGGAATAGCTTCATCAGTCAACTTTTGAAGTTTGACGCTCTCCTAGCCTCTCCACAGGATAAGATCGAGCTATGTTGGTCATTGTTTTTATTTAGGTTGCTTCTATGTTGGGTATTCTTTATTTAAATATGAAAAATCTTGATTGTCTGTCATCATATAATAATTACCTGTTCCCTTTTCAGGCCCTGATTGTGAACCAAATATTATATTTCAGGTAATTATTTAAATTCCTTTTTAAGTTTATAAACCATTTTTTATTTATTAACGAGAAACAGGTCCGACGAGGAATACGAAACCACTTTGGTATTGGAAACTGAATCAAAAGTCATGAAATGGAAGCTTCTGTTAGTTAACGATTTCACGCCAAATGGTAGTGTGGAGAAATACTTGACGGGAATTCCGAGTAGACAACGCTGACTTGAAATGGTAGCGCATGGGTAACGTCATTAATTTTATTTTCATCATATATTGATTTGATTGTGGTGTACATAGTGGACTTAATTTGAAATGGTTATCATAGTCATTGATGAAATATTCTTGCCTCCCTATTTTTATCCATATTTTTAATTATATTCTCAAAATAATATTTAGTATATTATTCTTGAAATATTATACTATCTTTTAATTACTTTTAAACTCTATAAGATTATTAATTTTATTAAATATCTCTTGAAAAAAAGTTTAAAAATTAACAAAAACACCTCATCAATCCAACTTGTCAGATTCTGATAACAACCGTGGTGATAGCCGAAATCTGTACAACAGCCCAAATTTCACCAATCTGGTCTTTTCCGGCTAGATCAACATTTTCGGTCAGATCTGACCGTCAGCGACGACCAAAGAAATGACCGTCGTTGACCGAAAACGACGACCACATCTTTGGTCGTTAGTGACATTGTTTTGGCCTTTCTGACCGTCTACGGCTATAACAGGCCATAGATCTGGCCTTTTTCGGCCAGATCCGTGGTGGATCTGGTCGGAAAAAGCCATAATGACTCGTTACGGCACATGAGCTTGTTATAGAAAACCCATCACTGTAAATTAATATGAACAGCATATTGTAGAGCAAAAATATTGATTTGATTGTGGTGTACATAGTGGACCACAATCAAATCAATATTGATTTAGGTTTTGTCTCTGCATGAGCTTGTTATAGAAAACCCATCACTGTAAATTAATATGAACAGCATATTGTAGAGCAAAGAAATTCTATTCAAAGATTGATAAACCCACCCTTCTTAGTCGTTCCTTTTATATGCTAAGGAACAGCATAGGTTTCAAGTTACAAATGAAGGGTATAATTTGAATACAGATTGAAATTGAAAAAAATCAATTGTCCTCAAACTAGCTGTATAGCTCTGCCAAGTGGTTTTCTCATGGATTTTTCTTCTGAATTTGTGGAAGCAACAGCATTGACAATCTCTGATACATTACTAATGTTATACAAAGAACAGAGGAAAAAACAGGGGAGTTTATAGAAAGAATGATCTGCATATCTTCCAGGGGATATCTTCTAAACTAAAATAACACTCAACCTTGACAAAGACAATATTCTATACAAAGGATGTAGAATATTAAAAAGTTCTCATGGTGAGATTAACATAAGATTAAAGAAAAGTTGTGAACACTAAAGCTTAAATAATGTAGAAAGGAAAGAATATGAGCATTGCTATACATACATCAAAGCTAAATATTGTTGGATACGCATTAAGAAAACAAAGAATAAGATAATTGCTTGGAGACAACTTATAAGAATGGGAAGAATTAAAATATCACAATCATGCCATGTCTTCAATATTTGAAAATTAAGGATTACGGCCAACTGAAGGAACTGCCCAAATCAAATTCTTCAAATGTCAACCAACACTACAGAAAGTAAATATCTTAAGATGCTTTGAAACGAATGGCCCAAGATCTCTTTCAGTTATTTCTTAAATCCTCTGGAAAGGGTTGATGATTCTGAACCAACCTATTGTTGCATGAGAGGACTGGCTCCACTTGGTCAGTTGTTCAGGAATCAGGCTTGAATTACGGTCAGAATGAATTCTGTAACGTCAAAATCGAGTTCTTCACCACAGGTAATTTCTGCTCCTCCTCCATTTTAAGCTAATTGTTATTTATAATCTGTTAAAACAACTCTATATATACAAACGCTTTTGATCCAAAAGCTTACTAAAAAATCAGTTCTAGCTTCCTCTTTCCGCTGTTTTTGCTATCACTCTACTCGAAATGAAGATGTTTTTTTTAATTGCTTATGCAGTAGAGGTACTTGAAAGGTGAACTGAATTGGCTGGACCAAAATGCATGCTGAAATCTGTAAGACTTAAAAGTGGCCACAAGCTACAATTATTCAGTTAAAAGTAAACTGCCTGTCTCAAAGCTGTCCAAAAGGTAATTTCTTTTCGTAAAATACAATGTTTTGTGGCAGGTTTATGCACGAGAGATGCTGGAGATCTTTGACTGAATTGATTAGGCCAAGGCAAAGTTGGTGTCTTTGGGGCCATTCTGTTGATAATTGAAGGCTGAGGACAACAGAGAATAGCGATTTCGAAGAGAAAACAGGGCATTTTGGTGTTAATTTTATGTTTATCTTTTTTACATTTGATTGTTCTTACTAATTATAATGATTTCTCAATTATGGTTTGAAGCATTGAAAATGGGTGCATGGCTGAAACTTCAATTTTGAAAGAGAAAGAAAATTTGCTCAGTCAAACAGAATGCTCATGTCTTGGTGAGTTATTTTAGCAGAACAAAATTTGCCTATGACGCGTAACCATTTCAAGTTACGCGTCATAGGCAAAAATATTACATCAGACGCACCCTAAATACTTAGTTGTCACTTGTCAATGCAATTTAATTTTGCGATACACAAACATTTAAAAAAATAACAGGAGAAGGATATTTGGTCAGCGCCTCAGCCGTCAAAATAAATAATACAGAAAAATTCTTCATCAGATTAGGCATATCAAGGCTTAAGCTCCTATATATGGGAGCAATCCCTGCATAGACATAGGCATACTTGAAAAACAAATGGCTACAAAATCTCAAACCACACAAATATTTCTCTCCCTGCTAGCCCTTTCACCGCTTATTGGAACCTCCCATGGCGGTGGCATAGCCATCTACTGGGGCCAAAACGGCAACGAGGGTAACCTTACCTCAACATGTGCCACAGGAAAATATGCCTATGTTAACGTAGCATTTCTCAACAAGTTTGGCGGCGGGCAGACCCCGGAACTCAACCTTGCAGGCCATTGCAACCCTGATTCTGGCGGGTGCAAAATTGTTAGCATTGGTATAAAATATTGTCAGTGCCGAGGCATCAAGGTGATGCTTTCTCTTGGAGGGGGAATTGGTAACTATACTCTTACCTCTACTGCTGATGCCAAAAATGTTGCAGATTATTTGTGGAATACTTTCTTGGGAGGAAGTTCAAGTTCCAGACCTTTAGGTGATGCTGTTTTGGATGGAATCGATTTTGATATCGAGAGTGGTTCAACTTATCATTGGGATAATCTTGCTCGTTTCTTATCGGCTTACAGTAAGCCTGTAAAAAAAGTGTACTTAACAGCAGCTCCTCAGTGTCCATTTCCTGATAGATTACTGGGAACTGCAATTAACACAGGGCTTTTTGACTATGTTTGGGTTCAGTTTTACAACAACCCACCTTGCCAATACACAAAAGGAGACACTTCGAATCTTTTGAATTCATGGAAAAACAATTGGGCGCCATCCTTGAAAGGAGGGAAGCTGTTTTTGGGGCTGCCAGCAGCCCCTGCTGCAGCTTGAAGTGGGTATATTCCTCCTGATGTGTTGAATTCTCAAATACTTCCCGAAATTAAGAAGTCGGCTAAATTGCGAAACTGTTTTGAATACGAAAGAAGCGCCCAACTCACCGCTTATTTATTATTTGGACAGTTTCCAAGGCCAATCAGAGCCAAAGCTGGAGATACGATTTCTGCTCAGATCACTAACAAGCTATACACTGAAGCAATTGCGTCAAGGACCGATCCCAAACAGGTTTGGGCCTGGGCCCGTTTAGGACCAATTTGGGTCCTAAAATTGCTCATGGGCCTAAACTGGTCCTACGGCCTGAAATTTTTTTTTTCCTCTTCATTTTTTTTATATTTTAAGGGTGAAACGAAATTTGGTTGAGGGTTTTTAGTATTTTTCAACGGTAATATTTATAAATTTTTTTGGGCTTAGAAATTTTTATTTTTATTTTTGTAAAATTTATTTTAACCTTTATAATTTATATTTATTTTAAAATTTATAGAGGTTTTTATATAATTATACAAAGAACTAAAAACGAAATATTTAAAAAAATTTGAGCTGAGGCCTAGGACTTAAAGGAGGGTCCAGTGGAGGGATCCGACCCTTCTCCTTAGGACCGGATTTTGGGTTGGGTTTTTAGACCCAGTCCCAAATACTCACCTCTACTTTTGTTATATAATATATTTGTGGATTTGCTTACAGATTGGAACACCATGGATAGATGGAACTCCTTCCATCTCACAATATGGCTATGCTATCAACCTTGGAGAAACTTTTCTTTACAGGTTCAAAGTTGAAAAGGTAAACTCGTAAAGTTCAAACTTTGTTATTTTTTCAACTCTAGATTTGCCCATTTATATTTATGGACGGGGTACAGGCAGGAACATATTTTTACTATGGGTTATTTGGGATGCAAAGATCAGCAAGGCTGTGTGGATCTCTGATAGTAGATGTGGGAGATCGAGAAAAAGGCTGGATTCGTCCGCCAAGGGTATGCTTTATTTTATAAATTTTCAGTTTCTAGAAGCTTCAATTATTCAACATTGAATTTGTTGGGAGAAAGTGAGAAACCAACACAAAAAGGGCTTAGGGTTAATGTAACCCTAATATAAGTGGGCTGAAAAAAACCTTCTCTCCTTATGGGCTAAATGGCCCATCCTCTACATGGAGGGAAACCGAACCCAACGGAATTGATTTTATAATATATAAAAAGGAAAATATTAGCTATTTACTGTATTCCCTTACGGTAGTGAATTGATTTTGGAAATTTTGGTTTCAGAAACTACTGAGTATTGAAGACAAAGATATCGGAGAAAGCAAAACCAGTGTCCATGGAAGCAAATCGAAAACGTCTCCATCTGAGGAATATAGAGGCCCATAACTAGACAACTTGTGCAGATGGAGCTCACCGGGCCGAAGTATTCAATTAGTAATTAGCTGTTTATGTGTTTTTTCAATATGGTTAACTGTTCTGGGGAGAGTGGAAATGATTTATTTCTAATAGTAAATGAAACATGTGGCAAGCTTGCAATGTAATCGCAGTTGATAAATGATTTCCAATAGTAAACAACAAATTTTCCTTGGTGTATCAATGAGATGTTAATAATCTCCCATTTTAGTACAAAAATTGTGATTGGAAACTCATCTAGCTTTGTTTTGTTTTAGTGGGTTTGTTTGCATTGAATTTCTTCTATTAGAAAATACTGAACCACCCAAAGTTCTCTCATTTCATAAAAAAATATCAAGAAAAATACTTACAAAGAAAGTTGTGTATCAAAACTTATTTTTAGATTTTAAAAATGTTATAATTTTTTAATTGTATCCTTTTTTTTTTTTTTTTTTTTTTTAAATGTTTGTGTATCGCAAAATTAAATTGCATTGACAATTAAGTATTTAGAATATTTCATCAATGATTATGATAACCATTTCAAATTAATTCCACTAAGTACACCACAATCAAATTAATTATTTCGTTTCTATATCTCAGTCTAATATATATTCTTAAATTTATAGTTTTTAAAGGTTGAAATAGTAGGCTGAGGCCTCTAGACTACATTTCAAAGTTGAATAAGCGTTGTTACAATTTTTGACATTTCTTAACAGTAGGTGATTTCTAGACTCTGCACTTAACTTGTCAAAATTTACCCATTTTGCACGAAGAAAATGAAAAAGAAGATGTGTTGCCCATTTTGCATAACAATAATAACACAAGTGGAGTTATAGATATTCACATTAATCTTGGAAATGGTATGAATAGTTAAGAGGAAATTATATAGATTCTTAATTTTGATTATGTAATACCATAATTTAAAGTTAGTAATACTACAAAATTTGTTAATTAATAATGGGGATGATATTAATTTTTAGAAAAATTTTATTATTTTATTAATTTTTTTGAAAAAGATGTATCCTGTGATACGATATGATACGCAATACATAATTCAAAAAATTAGGTTTTTGATATATGATACGATATGTTTTACACCAAAAAGAAAACAACCATCTCATAAAACACTCTCATCCACAGAAGATCCCTCACCAGTTTTAGTCCAACATCAACAGATTAAGAGGAGTTTCTACAACCAATATGAAGGTAAATAAGATAAGTGAAAATAAGAGCCCATCAAAGTTGGACATTATTTTTATCAGGGATCAGCAGAGATCAACTGAAGTTGGTCCGGGCCGGTCCAGACTTCTAAATAAACATTAAATCTCTTTTAAGCACACCCACTCAACTCTTGCCGTGTCCCCCAAAAAGCAAAAACAACAAATATGCCCGCGCCAATTGTTGAAAATAATTTATAAATCTAAGAAAAATGGAGGATTAAAGGCTTACTTGATATTAGAATTGAGTCGAAATTTTTTCAAAAACAGTTTACGAATACAATTTTAAAAATCAATGAAAGATTAGAAAATGATTTTCTTATTTAATTTAAAAACAGTTTTTATATATTATATCAAATAAAAAATAGTATATTGTTATGACTGAAAAGATTAGGCGGACATGGAGTCTCGTCAATAAGGTATGGTCAGGGTTCTGAAGGGTCATGTGTTGTCTAGGTGCGGCCACGTAACACCTGACACAAGTGGCATGACTCATGTCAGTGTAACAGGTGGGCGCTAGACCAGCAAGTGGCTGGAAATCATCCACCTGTCAAAACCCTGCTTTAGTCGAAAAAATTCCTTGGGCAGACGAGCAATGGGACACAGAGAAGGATTTGCACGGTACCCCCACTTGCAGCTTTTGTAATCATTACTTTGGACTCTCCCACTATAAATAGAAGACTTCCCTCTCATTTTGGGAGATTAGCCAATCTTACACAAGAATAGCTCTCTCTCTCTCTCTCTCTCTCTCTCTCTTTCTCTCTCTCTTTTGTATTCTCACCCAAATTGTAGCTCAGCTTGCTGAACGCAACTTGATCTCTCTTTTATTAATACAATAGTTGTGGATGTAGGATTCGCTTTTGAGCATCCAAACCACTTTAAAAACTGTTCTTCACTCTTTGTTTAATTCAATCCCCCTTATATCACATGTGACTTCTAAATCCTTTTAGCATTTCACACGTGTGAGTAGTTGATGTCAAAATCAAACATCAACATATATTATACTATGTTAGTAAAATTTTAAAAAATTATTAATTTTATTTAGCTATCAAAATATTTGTTTTTCTTTCGATAAAATATGAACAGATTTAAATCTTCCCATGAACATCGATGGGTGCATTTGGTTCAATACTTTTACCCATATTCCCAATCTTATTCTCCAAATATTGTTTGGCACATTATTCCATAAATATTACTATATTTTTTAATTACTTTTAGAGCCCTTAAGTTTATTAATTTCATTAAATACCCCCCCAAAAAAATTTAAAAATTAACAAAAACACCCCCATCAACCCATACTTGCCAGAGTCCTGCAACCACCATCGGTGGTAGTCGGAATCTGTAAAACGGCCAACACCATGATGGCCATTGGCCGGTAGTTCACCGATCTGGCATTTTTCGGCTAGATTTGGCCGTCAGTAACGGCCAAAGATGGACTTCTTTGGCCTTTTCCGGCCGTCGACGGCCACATCTAGCCGTAGATTTGGCCTTTTTCAGCCAGATCTGTGGTGGATCTGGTCGGAAAAGGCCATATCGACGCGTTACGACACAGATCCGACCGGTCTGTGTTGTAACACAATTTCTAGCCAGATTCCGACGGTGGTGGCTGGAATCTGGGGCTGCGGATGGTGGGAGTATTTTTGGCATTTTATATGTTGGGGTGTTTAATTAAATTATTTCGTTTCTATATTTTAGTCTAATATATATTCTTAAATTTATAGTTTTTAAAGGTTGAAATAGTAGGCTGAGGCCTCTAGACTACATTTCAAGGTTGAATAAGCATTGTTACAATTTTTGGCATTTCTAAACAGTAGGTTATTTTTAGACTCTGCACTTAATCTACCCAAATTACCCATTTTGCATGGAGAAAATGAAGAGGAAGATGTGTTGCCATTTTGCATGATAATAATAACACAAATGGAGTTACATATATTTACATTGATCTTGGAAATGATATAAATAGTCGAGAGGAAATTATATAAATTCTTAATTTTGATTATGTAATACCATAATTTAAAATCAATAATACCACAAAATTTGTTAATTAATCATGGGAATGATATTAATTTTTAGAAAAATTTTATTATTTTATTAATTTTTTTTGAAAAAGACGTATCTGCGATACGATACGATACGCGATACATGATTTAAAAAATTAGGTTTTCGATACAGGATACGATACATGATTTGACAAGCATGTTTTACACCAAATTGAAAAGAAAACAACCATCTCATAGAAAGTGCATAAAACACTTCAACTTCTTTGAGATATGGCTATGCTACCATTTATTCGCATTAAAACAGTATATATAATAATAAGTGGTTGCTACCATTTTGATTGTTGTGTGAGGATGTGAATCAGGTCAAGTTGTGTGATGCTTTGGTGTTTATCTGGCAGGTGAATTGCAAGGATTTGTGGATATTGTGAATTCGTAATCGTTGAGGA